AAGTCCAGTGGTCCAAGACATTTCCCCTGGCTGCCCCCCCCCAGCACATATTATTACTGTGGGAGTTTGGATTGCAGTAAAAAGTCATCAAATATTTAGGACTCTGGTTAGTCTCTAATCAAGTAGAAAACACGGTCAAATTAAAACTGGGAAGTAAATAGAGGGGAAATCTGTTGGGTCTTAGAAAGATGGACAGTTCTCCGATTAAGTCTATGGGTCAGAGTTAATGTCCTTAAAACGAACATTACAAACATTACATTATACTTGGTGTACATGCTTAGATGCCTCACAACCCCTATTCTGCAATATCTATATATATCTCTCTCTCTCTCTCTCTCTCTCTATAATATATATATATATATATCTATCAATCTATCTCTATCTATCTATCATCTATCTATCTATCATCTATCATCTCTATCATCTATTCTATCATCTATCTATCATCTATCTATCTATCTATCTATCTATCTATCATCTATCTATCTATCATCTATCTATCTATCTATCATCTATCTATCATCTATCTATCTATCTATATCTATCTATCTATCTATCTATCTATATCTATCTATCTATCATCTATCTATCATCTATCTATCTATCTATCTATCTATCTATCTATCATCTATCATCTATCTATCTATCTATCTATCTATCTATCTATATCTATCTATCACCTATCATCTATCTATCATCTATCTATCTATCATCTATCATCCATCCATCTATCTATCTATCTATCTATCTATCTATCTATCTATCTATCATCTATCATCTATTCATCTATCTATCTATCTATCTATCTATCTATCTATCTATCATCTATCATCTATTATCTATCATCTCCTGCCAACTAGATGCAGTTTTCCTTTAAAATTGCTCTTGAACTGCACTCCATAAAATACAAATGGCGTTGGGAGATGGAAGATTCCAATAAAAAATAAAAAATAAAAAATTCATTTTCATAATGTTTTTCTTATATCACCATCTCAACTCTGGTGTGTGGACTGAAGGCCACAAATATTTTTTTTGAGTGAAGATTGAAAAGATTTGGTTTACCCTACCAAAGAATACTACGCTCAAAGCATGTCATTACATTCCAGGAGAAAGCACCCATGAGTCATGCCGCTACAATAGCCCCACATTCAACTGCAGTACCCTTGCAGCACTTTGAATCATAGAATCTAGTTCAACTCCCTGCAATGCAGGAATCTCAGCTAAAGCATCCATGACAGATGGTCATGGATGGCCTAGCATTTACTGTGGCATAAACGTTCATCAAATGCATGATGTGGTTGCTGCAATAGTTCCATGATCTGGTTGTCCTGTGTGGTGTCTGTTTTTAACTGACTGGTTAGTTGGTTGGTTGAATTTCCTCCCACTCTTCCTTGGAGGCAGAGACCTCCATAAACCACCATACACACTGATGGTGCTATACACAGATGAATAGATAAAGCAGACTTCTCTTTAGAAATGCTTTGTAATTATGCCCATGATCCATTTTTTGTGTCCTTAAGAGAAAGGAATTGCATGACTGCTAGGAAGCCACTGATAACATCCTCCTGTGCTTTCCTTATCCTCTCCAGAGCGGAATATACTTCCCCCACCCACTGAGCCCACAACACCCCACACAGATGTCAGCATCACACACAGCTGTGCTGCCACCTGCCCAGCATGAAGGGTGTGTAGCACCATGAATGAGGCAGTGGTGGCATCTTGTCTCCCGACAAGCTGGAAACTTCAGTGGAATGGAGCGACAGCAGAAAAGTTACCACATTTAATAGGTCTGACAGCACCCATCACTATATTTCATGAAATAATCCATTTATCAACCTTTTGTCAACTGGAGCTCAGATGGAAACTGATGAGCCTTGCGAAATAGTTTCAGCATGAAGGCTCCCTAAAACAAACAAACATATATGAAACTCTCAATTAAGGCAAGTTACTGAAGACAATTTGCAAAAGGGCACAATACTGCACTCAGATATCTGTGAGTATCCCCTGCTGTTTTAAGTGGGATTTCACACTTTGTGTGGCTGTCAAATTATTGTAGCCTTGTATTATTAAGGAAGTTTGAGTTCCTTAACCATTCTTCAAATAACACCAGAGGTTTAGGATTCATGTTGGTCCTTCAGGACAAAGAGCTAGTGAACAGAAACCTCTGTTAAACCAACTATTGGATGAACAGAAGACAACAAAACTTCCAGGATGTCTATATTTTATTGTGAAGGGTCATGATAAGGTCGCATTTTGTAGTGTGATCCTACATGTAAAACTTCTTAGCAGCTTTCACTGCCATCTCCTAGGTCATGGGTAGGCAAACTAAGGCCCGCGGGCCGGATCCAGCCCAATTGCCTTCTAAATCCGGCCCACGGACAGTCTGGGAATCAGCGTGTTTTTACATGTGTAGAATATGCCCTTTTATTTAAAATGCATCTCTGGGTTATTTGTGGGGCATAGGAATTCGTTCATTTCTTCCAAAAAAGATATAGTCCAGCCCCCCACAAGATCTGAGGGACAGTGGACCAGCCCCCTGCTGAAAAAGTTTGCTGACCCCTGTCCTAGGCTTTCCTAAGTATCCCATAAGATGTTCTTGAGGCTCCGTTGCATGCACGCTGCCATACCCGCTCTAGCTGTCTGAGGTCCTCTTTCATTTTCCAGAGCTCCTCGGTAAACCAGGGGGCCCAGTTTCGGCGGGGTTGCAGAGGGCGCTTAGATGCAATCTCATTGATGGCCGCTAAGAGCCGGTTATTCCAGTTCTTGACAAGCTCATCTAGTGAGCTGCTGGGGGGAGCAGGGTCCCGCAAGGCCTGACAAAATCCATCAGGATCCATCAGCCTCCATGGGCGAGCCCAAATAGGTTCGCCACCCAAGCGGGTGGGCGGGGGGGGGGGAGTCAATCCTGGCTTTCAGAGAGTAGTGATCAGACGATGGCACTTCCACAAGGGGGGCACAGCTATACCTATAGATGATCACATCTATACCTGCCCCAAAGATCAGATCCAGAGTGTGGCCTGCTTGATGTATGGGACCCAAAACAAACTGGGAGAGCCCTAATGTCACCATGGAAGAAACCAGGTCCAGAGCCCGAGAGGAAGGGATGGCATCGGCATGGACATTGAAGTCCCCCAGAACCGATAGGTTAGGGAACTCCAAGGCCCAGCCTGCCACCACCTCCAGCAGGCCTGACAGGGTGGCTGCGGGTGTGCTAAGTGGTTGGTACACCAGCCAGACAGCCAAACTCTCCTTGGTGCCCCACACCAGGCCAACACATTCAGTGCCAGAGATCGATGGTGCTGGCTGAGCCCTGAAAGAGCAATCCTCCCCGATTAATGCTACCCCTCCCCTCTGACCCACAGTCCGTGACTGGTGGAGGACAGAGAAACCCGGGGGTGCCATCTCAATCAAGGTGATTACTTTGCCTTCCCGCACCCAGGTCTTCGTCACACAAGCCAGGTCAACCCCCTGCGAGATAAAAAAGTCTCACATGGTGGTGGTTTTATTGCCTATAGACCTGGCATTGCACAACACCAGCTCACCCTACCCTCTTCCCTCAGGATGGGGTGTAGATTGGAAGGGGTTCAAGCATCTCCGCATCTCAAAACCTATAACATCTACCCCCACCGCCAGACCTCCCTAGCTCTTCAAAGGTGGTGATCCCAAACCCCGTACTTGCCTTCCCCATAAAGGAATGATATCCCCTCATATAACATATGCATATAACTGTATAGCTTGTAGTTCAAATAAGTGAGCAGGGCTCTGCATTCTGGTATCTTTGAGGCTCAAAATTATCCAACATTATTTTCAGCCCATCTAAAATAACTACAGGCCTTCCATCACTATCAAAATTCCATCCCATCTGTTCCACCTTAATCCTAAAATTATTCCTTTCTCCTTGCTGATTCCTTATGAATTTTAAATACAGCACATTACCCAGGCTTCTCTTTCAGGTCTAGTCTTTTATATCTTTCATGATCTTTTTCTTGTTTTTTGTGTTTGCTACATTGTTGGCCAACCACCATTAACTGCCACACATCACAAAGGCTTGTTCTGCTGATTATAGCCTTGGTCTACCAGTTGAGGTTCTTTAAAGGGCAAGGTTTTCTTTCGGTTCATTCTCCTGAATCATATAAGATAGGGAAACGGCCACAGGAAGTCTAACGTGCCTTCCAGATGATGAAGATAGCAGGCAAAGCTAAAAGTTAGAATTGGTACCACTTTGTCCAGATTGGGCCCCATGATGTTCAGGCCCTGCCCTTCCACTCTAAATATATGCAGAACACCTCATCACCAGTATTAGGTGTGGGATGGCCACATGTACATCACTAAAAATGAGAAAATGCATCACCAAAAAGGGAAATGAAAGGTGGCAAAGATTGGCATAAAATTGGCATTTGTTCATTTATAGGTAAATGTAGAAATAATGGCCAGAATTTATATAGAAAGGCAGTTTGTCATAGTGGGAAAGACTGTGCTAGTTGTTGATGGACAATTTCAACATCCTCTTGCTCCCCTTTCACATGGTTCTTTATGTTTAAGCCAGTTTCTATATTTTGCATACATTTAAATGCTGATTGAATTGTCACAGAAAATACTTTTCATATTCCATACATAACAACTGAGGATCATAACCCATCCACTGTATGAAGTGGCCTCATGTCCACTGACTGATGCCAAAATAAAACTTGTCAGTCCATGGGGTGCTATAAGACTCTTTTTTTGCTCTTCTTCCTGAACCCCCTCAGGCAGAAACTTCTTAGGAACCTTCTCTTGCTTGCTCTTCCTCTACCATTCTGTTCCATCTTTGATCCTCCAAGCTCCACCCCCATTCCACAGATGGAGCACACTGGCAGTTACTAGGCAACATATCTTCCTCCTCTTCTAATTCACACATAGCCTCCTTCCCATCTATCTGGTAACAACTGTTTGGGACTTCCTTCTCAGGGATGAGATGCCAGAGGTGGTGCTTCAAGAGATTCTTTCATCTTTCTGGGAAAATGAATGGCAGCCTGGCATGGCTGCTCATTATGTTCTTGAGGAATCTCCTGAGTGAGACTGGTGGCCAGACACCACCTCAGGGCTTTAGGTATGCCTCTTATGAGGTGACCATCCAAGGAAACTGAGCTTTAGGTATGGACTACAGGAAACCCGGTATGTCAGCTACCTGCTGCAGATTGAGGGGAAGGGCCAGGTGGTGCATCTCCAGCAGAAGAAGGGCATTGTTCCTAAAGACTTCCCCATCTTCACGTACAATCAGGAAGGGGACCTTCAGGTTGACTATCATTACATCAGGGATGATTGTTTCTACAGTGGCTTCATACAGGACAAGCCTCTCTCTTCAGTCACTCTCAGCACTTGCTCAGAGGGACTCAGGGGCCTGTTACAACTTAACAATGAGACATATCAAATTGAACCTGTCCAGCCATCTGCTACCTTTCAGCATGTGGTGTATCGGCTGGAAACAGAGGAGGGTGCCATGCACATGAGGTGTGGGTTGACGGAGGAAGAGCAAAGGCATCAAGAGGCCGTGATCCAAGACAGAAAGCAAGTGGCTGTCAGAAGTCCTCCAGCAGAACTCTGGTGGCCACACAAGAGACATGCAGAAGTGGCATTTGTGGTGGAGCATGAACGATACGTTAAGTTTAATAAAAATGAAACTGATATAGCTATGAAACTTCTCGAGACCATCCATATGGTAAATTCATTTTTTGAGCCATTTTTGGTTGAAGTATCTGTAGCAGGACTGGAGATATGGACGGAAAAGAACCTCATAGATATTGGTAAAACTTTAGGAAGGACACTTAAAGCTTTTACTGTATGGAGACATGACATTCTACTTAACCATCTAAAGAATGATGCTGCTCACTTAATTGTATACAGGTCGTATGGAAGGAATCTTGGACGAGCATATGTAGCAGAAATTTGTGATAACAGGGCTACTGGTGTTGAAGTATCAAGAAATTTCAATTTGTTTGATTTTTCTGTACTTTTTGCCCATGAATTTGGACATAATCTTGGTATGAGCCATGATGAACCAGACTGTACATGTGATCGACGTGCCTGCATTATGTCTGCTTTGTACTCACGGACTGATAAGTTTAGCAACTGCAGTTACCATAAATATTTCAATCTAAAGGACTCACCTTGCTTGTTGATTCCACCAGACCCTGATCAAATGTATAAACTCAAATACTGTGGGAACAAAGTAGTGGAAAAAGGAGAGCAATGTGACTGTGGTTCAGCTGTGCAGTGTCAATCGGATCGATGTTGCAGGCCAGATTGCACATTGCATCCATTTGCCAATTGTTCTTCTGGATTGTGCTGTGACAGGTGCAAGTACCGTCCCCCTGGATCCATTTGCAGAAAGAGTATTAGTATGTGTGATCTTCCTGAATTTTGCACTGGAACTTCAGACCAATGTCCAGAAGATGTTTATGTACAAGATGGTGCCCCTTGCGGTGATGGAGTCTATTGCTATCATGGTCGTTGTAGTACTCCGAATGGGCAGTGTGAAAAGATATTTGGCAAGAAAACCGTACGAGCTTCAGAGGATTGTTTCAGAGGACTGAATGCTCAAGGTGATCGCTTTGGCAATTGTGGCCTTGAACATGGTATTTTTAAGAAATGCAAAGCTGAAAATATTCTATGTGGCCGAATGCAGTGTAGTAATATTTATGGGCTACCTACCTTGGAGGAACACCAAACCATCATTCAAACCACCATTGGCAAAAGTAACTGCTGGGCTACAGACTACCACAGTGGAATGGAGGTAGCTGATCTTGGAGCAGTGGAAGACGGTACACCTTGTGGCACTGGCATGATGTGTGTTAGTAGGGAATGCAAGAATGTGTCCCTCTTGCAGTATGATTGCAATGCCACAAAGTGCCATAATAGGGGAATATGCAACAACCACAAACACTGCCATTGTTCTTATGGTTGGGCCCCTCCTGACTGTCTAAAGGAAGGATATGGGGGCAGCATTGACAGTGGGCCAATTTCAAAAAACTGGAATGGTGTCAGTGTAGGTAGCATTGTAGGAAGTGTGTTGGTCCTTTCCACAGTGACTGCTGCTGTTGGCATGGGTGTGTATTACAGGTTTGTGCTACGTAACAAGGTTAGAAGAATGAGTTTAAGAATCTCTCCCTCAGAATCAACAGAGGAATGAAAACCACTCTAGATCAGAGAAGTGAACAATGCAGAAAGTTTCAAAAGAGTATGATGGGTATAATGAGCACTATTACACAACATATTTTTGACTCTGTAAGCATTAGTTCAGTTCATCTCAAAGGGAAATATTCACATATGAAAACATTTGCCTATACTTTCACTTTATGTTGAGAGTCTCTTTGTTGTTCAGGACAGAAGTCCTATCCTATGTTGAGTGGGAGAAATCTGTCCAGTGGAATGGAAGATTATCATACCATGCTAAAGAAATGCATGGAAGCAGTGCTGGTATTTTGGATATCTCGGATTCTCTCCCAAAGTAACCTTGGGTGTACAGGGACAGAATCATAACCTGGTATTTTTGTGAAGTGAATTCACATCTGTCTAGAAAGCCATTGCAAAAATTGTGCTGATAATTATGTCGACACAAATGTTAATGTTGAAATGAGATAGTTTATTAAAAATATTACAAAACCACCAACACATAATATTTCAAAAAGCTATAATGGAAATAATGGTGAATGTTATGTAACATATTTGAGGGTGCAATCTTTTCATTAAAGTTTTATGTTTGTTTAGCACCTTGTTTATAAAATTTGCCACACAGGATAATCTTTAATTTATCCACAAGGAGAAAATAGTTTCATATATTTAGAGCATCTCTCTGTGCTTTAACACAGAATCATGTCCTTTTAGCCATTGGAAGGTAGTCAGTGATTGGAAACCTGTCTTTAAAAAGGAATGCTACATGGTTAGAAGATCTTATTTTTAGAGAGGCCAAAGCACTTTTGGATAAAACTAGCAGGTAAGGGTGCTCTCTGATAATGGTACATCCTCTTTCTGAAATGTTTCACATGCCCCTGAGAGTTTTAACTTCCCTTACCTAGTTAAGGACAGGAAGAGTCATAGTTCAGTGGCTGAGCCCTTATTTTTTTTATGCAGAAGGTCCAGGATGAATGCATTTTTGTGACTCCATTCAAAAGGTTCTCAGGTAGCAGAATAGCTAGGAGAGCCACTGAGATGCCAGAGAGCCTGCGGGATCGTCCAGATGACCTGCTTATTGAGCATTCATCTTGATTTGTTTGTGCCGAGGTTATGCATTTCCCCATCACTCCTCTAATGACTAAAGAAAATCCATTTAAACAACAAATTTGAATGTCAGAGCACCCAAGTGCTTTTTAGTCCAGTTTAATTGCACAATCCCACTTGCAAAATACTGACAGTCTGAAAGTGACCTGTGTCCCTCGAGATCCTTTGCCATATTGCACGATATTGGTTTGGATGGATGAAAGGTCTGACTCATTGTAAGGCAGTTTTGCTATTACAGGTTCGAAATAATGAAAATGGAGATTAAATGCATTAATGGAAACATTTATAATTTGCATCATTTATTCCAGTTACCAAATTGTGTTGCGTGTGTCCCAGCATGTTCAGTCTTGAATCATAAAAAAACCCCTGCTTCCCTAGAACACAGTGAATATCTTAAGATTTATTTTTCCGTTCCAGGGATGAACGTTTTGTGCAGGTAGACTGAACGCTTATCAAGGTTAACACGAAAGGTTATTGTATTCCTTTTGCAAGTTCTAGATTTTCTTACTCTGAGAAGCAAGCCCTTCTTAATACGTTAACTTGAAAGCTTAGGAGCTTAAATGCCAGTCCTTAATAATGTAGTCTCTGTGTAGCATTCTATGGAGAATTCGGTGTTTTTGGGGAAGAATACAGGAAAGATAATGCTCCAGGTCAGCATAAGCTGAATTAATTATTCCTTTAGAGAGTTGTTAGTAGAATATTCAGTGCAGTGCGTGTACCTACTATGCACAACTTGTGTGAACTGAATTGAGATCTTTTCATATTCAAAGCAGGTAAACTTCACTTCTGAATATCACTGTAATTAATTCCCTCCAGGGGCATGTAGAAATGGTAGGTCTAATTAGCTGTGAAGATACCTAACACTGCTGTCCTGTATCAGGGAAGTTAAATCGCTAAATTCTCCATTTACTTTTTTTTTAAAAATGACCTTGCATCAAACAATAATTTGAACTATCCTCTGATAGTCCGTGTGCAAAACTATGCTTGTGCCAAATACATCCCCCCCCCCAGCCAAACAAAAATAAATTCACTTGAAGTTGCCATGGAGTTTTCAGTCGTATCAGCGCTTGTTTCAACTGCCTGTGAAACGGTTTGTCAGGATGAAGTCACTCATGGTTTTAATTAGAGCTACCACTGATTTTTCACCTGTTAGACAAATTCCAAGGTGGATTTGATCAGCTGAAACATCAAAAGGAATTCAAAGGAAGCTAGCTTATTGGGGAAGATTAGAAAGAGGCTCGTCTCTCTTTTAGCTTTACAACTACTACTAATAGTAAACTTAAGTGGTGAGTCCCAACAGGACTGTAGCCAAAGCAGAGGCAGAATGAAACAATTGGTGGGAGTGGGATGAAGGTATCAGTGTGCTCAGTGAAGTCCCATGGACTTCAGAAGTGCATTCCCACCCCCCAAAGCAGGAGCAATGCTCTCAGAAGCAGCCCAACAAGGACTGGACATGTCTAGTAGCCTTGGAATATGGAGTGACAGCTCACCCACTTCTGCCATTGGAATCTCAGGCAGCCTGGTTGACCCAAAGCTCCTTTAACTAAGTTTGGCTGGGACACCAGCTACAACGGGATAGGGATCCTCCCACATGCAGGCCAGAGTTGGCGCTCCTGGAGTTCAGATGTGGCCTATGAGGTCATTTCCCCCAAATCATGGCTACCTGCCCCACACCTGTTGACATATATCAGGTGTGGGACAGATAGAGACATGGCTTCCAATGCACAACTGGGAGCTTTTAAGTGCACTGCCAGTTGTGCACGTCATTATAAATGACTTGGATGAAAGGGGGATGCTCATCCGATATGCAGACAGCACAAAATTGGGAGGAGTGGCTATATTCCTGAGCTGCTGAAGGAGTGATGGAAAAGAGTGAAGGAAGCCTCTGACTCTTACCAGCAAACTTATTTCCCTGCACCTGGAGTCTTCCTTCCACCTTGTTTTTGATGGAAGCCTCATGTTTTAATTCAGGCATAGGCAAAGTCGGCCCTCCAGATGTTTTGGGACTACAACTCACACCATCCCCGACCACTGGTCCTGTTAGCTAGGGATGATGGGAACATCTCCAAAACATCAGTCTCCAAAACATCTGGAGGGCCAAGTTTGCCTATGCCTGCTTTAATTGCTACTGGGAACAGAATGTTAAGCTAAGAAGATCTAGATATAACCCAGAAAATATATACATACATCATTTGCAAAGCTGGATTTTGCACATCTCTCAACTGCCAGTTAATTTACCCCAAAGCAAAACTTAAGTCATATTTGAAAAGTCCTATCCTATGTCTATGAAAATCTTCAGGAGCCTCAGTAAGGATGATATCACACAGGTAGAGCAGGGAAGGGTAATTGCACAACCCTAGATATGAGTAAAAACCAGTCTAGTCAAGTACTCTTCCCTCCCAGCTGAGGCTAACACCAGATGCTCACAGGATGATGAAAACTCACGGTTTTGCATGCCTGGTAGGACTTTGGAAGTCCACTGCTGGAAACCCCCAAAAGTTGCTGCCATCCAGTAGCTATGGGCCAATGATCTGACTAAATTTAAGGCAAATGTTTAAAGCCTGCACCACTGCAGCCTGCAGGCAGGGAGATTTGCAAGAGGAAGAAAGCAAGCAGAAAATTAATACATCAAGAAGCGGTCTGAGCCAGAAGTTCTCTCTGGTATACTTCTATGCCTGTTAAGTTTGTGGCATTCCTTCTGTAGTCAGAACCTGGCTTACCCACTCTACTATCTGACAATTTTACTCCTTCAGCCCCCATATCCTGAGATTCAAAGGCAGAGCCTGAGAGCTCTCAAGTGTGGCACCAGTTCTTCAAAAAACAAACAAAAATTCTAGTTACGATTCTAGTTTGTCTTGTTAACAGGTCCTACTGTGGGACTGTTGCCTCATTTCTCCTGAGTTTACTCAAAGCACGCCTGTTTTTGATGTTTACCTCTCTCAAAGAAACAGAGTGACACTGACTGTAAAAAAATATAAAAAGGCTGGAGAAAGGAGATAATTTAAATTTTAGAATGTGTGTGAAGGCTAGAGACAATAAATTGCCCCATTGTGCTATGATTCCATGGTAGGGAGCTGAGTTCACTTTCCCCAGAGCCAAATCCAACACCTGCTTGCCGACTACTACAAAATTCCTGGCTTGGTTGGCTCATTTTAGAAACCAACAAATAAAGTATTTGCTATTCCAGCTCAAAGCAGCTTTGCAATTTCTAGATAGAGAAAAGAATACAAAAGAGCACACTTATTTTTAGCATTTTGGGTTTTGTTTTTGTTTTTTGTTTTGGTTTTGCATCTGCCTCTTCTTGGAATCTCACCAGGGAAGCTTGTTCTGCAGTTTGACTTTCATTGCATCATACAAACAAACAAACAAACAAACAAACAAACAAACAAAACAACCCACCTCTTAAATACATAATAGATGTAGTTGAACACACAAAGGTACTGTGCTAATTTGAAGCATACGTCACTAATCAAACAAATGACAACAATATAGGTTATATCAACATCACTGCCAAACATTAGGCTGTCTGTCCCCTTACATCAGGGTTGGGGAACATATGATCCTCCAGATGTACTTGAACACATCAGACCTAACCAGCATGGCCAATGGTGAGGCAGGATGGTAGCTGTAGTTCAACAGGTTCAGGAGGACCACAAGATCCCCACACTTGCCTTACACATATGAAAAAAAAGTCAGCAAATTCAAGTACCTTAGGGAAGAGATTTTTTAAAACAACAACAACAACAACATACCTCTACCTGAGGCTTACTCAATACTACACAGCACACAAGTGGTGTGCCAAAAATTTCTCCTGAGTTTTTCCTTACCATTCTCCATCCATTAATGAAAGAGGAAACTGCCTTCAAGAACTTTCCATGGCTGAAAGTGTGAAGTTTTGATGGACTTACCTTA